AGTCGTACTTAATTCAGTAATGAATTGCATCATAACTGAAAACAGCAATAGTATGTACACATTCATAGTGCGTATTGTTAACATGATAAAATGGAATATACAAGTTGCAGTCACCGTTGCCTTATTGCCCACTATGACAATAACAACAATAAATTTCTGCAGACATATAAAATGATAAGGATAAATAAGTATCTCTGTGCATGCGCCAAGTGTTATGAACTCTTCAAATTTAGATTTATTTAGTATTGTTTATAAAGAAGAAAAAAAGGATTCAATCATTTTTAAGAAAATAAGAATGTTTCCTTATGATTTATGCCAACTAGTAGTATTTGTTGTTAATTTTTCTGTATGCTTATTATGATGTACAATGGGCCAATTATGCATCCATGGTCCTGATATTGTTGTATCAAAGGGATCATCTTCTTGTCGTTCTTTTAGTTCTGGTATTTCATTTTGAATAGATTCTTGAACAGCAGCTTCTTGTAATTTTGTTCTATTAATCTTTGACCATTCATCCCAATCTGGCTTAAAATTTTCATCGTCACTTTTAGCCATTAGTATATTGTCTTTCAAACCATAAAACCCATTGGGTTCATTTGGTTTCTGCCTATTAAATGAAAATCAAAAGACTTAATTATTATTTATGCGAGTTCGATAATTACCATCTCAAATCTAAACTCCATCGTATGCTTTGACTATAGTTTTCCATTGATTTATGTGGAATTAAATTATTCAAAAATAAAACCGAACCAAATGGTACTTCGCATGTAACTACTGTTTGTTCATTGATTGGAATGTTCAATGTTGTTGCCATTTCTTGAACAGGTAATTCAACATACCATGTATTACCAGCACAGCAATTATGTTTACAAGTACGACCTGAACGATGACCACCAGGTAACAATTGCAGACATCCTTCGAAAAATAAAACATATTTTATCATCGTGCTAAATTCAAATAAATGGGATAAATCAAACCATTTTCTTTATTTGTATCTAATAATGGAATCCATGCTGTTACTTGAAGAACATTCCAACATTCTTTATTTAAATCTAAATATAATCATGATAATCATGAATGTTAAATAGAACATGTTACAAGCAGTATCTTGATGCCAAGGAACAGTGACCTGCTCTTGATTGGGTACCTAAAAAGCTGTGAATAATATTTTTAATGACTATTATTGTCTACTTTTGTTCTTAAATTCCAAACAGGATGCCCAGCAACATCAGGTCCAAGTAATTGTTTAGCGACATTCAGTAATGTTTCGCTCGACCATAATGATGCAATTTCTGATGGTAAAACACCACGTTTATGAAGAAGAACAGCAGCACCTGGAAACTGTGAATCAATTGCAGTTAAACGTTGATAGAAGCTATCATTTTCATGCAAATCTTGAATTTTACCCTGATATATCAAAGAATCATTTTAAATATGTTTCGCTCTTAGATAGAAAAATCGTTACCGCTCGATGAAGATCTTGTGCCAATTCATCGACTAAGCGTTCTATACCATGAATTACTGGTTCTAGTTGATCTTGCTTTAATAAATTATGTTTAACAACAAAACCATCTTCAAAAAATTGATAAAACTCATTCTGAGTAAGCGGTCCAGGTGTATAATCACGTTGCCATGATGCAATTTCGTTGGATAATGGTGAATAATAAGAACGAGCAACAAGTGTTTCGGACATTTACAAATTTAATTTCAATCCAAAAGAAAAACTTAGATTTATAATGGCAAATGATTTTACGTTGCTTAAAACCTGTGTGCAATAGACTTGCCCTTCTAAACGCTTTCTTTTCATTTTTTATATAATGTCTATTTTTGTCTGTGCTTATCAATCGACGTCTCCTTTGTGCAAAAATACATAACCCTTTCAGCACGTGCGAAATAAAGAACAGAATAAAAAAAAAGTTAACAGCCATATTTTCTTAATATAGTAATGCCTCCATATCTATTACTTCTTTCTAACTCAGTCCGACGATTGAAACAGGTGCCAAAAACAAAACATAATCGAATTTCATACACATATAGAAAATTGTCAACTTATCAAGACATTTACAAAAGAAAACAAAACATTAAAATAAATATTGCAAAAACGATGATTCTTATAAGTGAATAGCAAAATGTGAATTGTTTTCAATATTATTTGGGCGACTAGAAGTAATATATGAGTACATAAAAGTGCCGAAAAATCCTGGTTTCATCTAACAAACAATTTCTCTAGAAACATCACACGATACTTCAGAACTATCATATAAAATGATAAACACAATAGTTATGATTATGAGTCTAACTTATTACCAACGAATTTTTTTTTAATACGCTGTTTATTATTACGCTCGGAAGCGCTTACATGGGGGATTTTAAACATTCTTTAACAGCATAAATACAGTTTTAAGCATAACTATAAATATGCAAACTTGCCTGTTCTGAGCAAAATGTTATGAAATCGTATCATATAGGGGGATTATTACAGAAAAAAAAGAAAGAAGAAGAGAAAGAAAAAAAAAGAAAGAAGAAGAGAAAGAAAAAAAAAGAAAGAAGAAGAGAAAGAAGAAAAAAAAGGATAAAGATGGAGCAAGGGGAGATAGAGAAAGAAAGAACAAAAAAGCAAACAAAAAAAAAACTGCTGATATAGATGAGAGATACAATCATAACACGCCTATATACCTATTATACATACTCAATCCATTTTATTAAAAAAACTTCATGTCTCTCTTTTAAATTTTTCACTCGTTTCATTCGGAATAGATGACCCAGGTGATCTCCTATTCTTTTTTTAAACTCATCCCAATAAAATATATCATTATAAAAGAGGGATTTTTCTAAATCAGATTTGTGCATTTGCTTTAGTCTATTCGCTATGTATTTTTTAACATAAAAATCTAAAGTGTTTTCTTTTATCGTTTCGAATAGAGTGTGCTCCGGTACATACTGACATCGATGCACCAGTCTCATTTCTACCCGAAATTTGCGCCTCAGAGTTTCTTGTTGCGTTTTGGGTAGAAATGGAAAAAAAGGAAACAGCCAAGCGAAATACGGAAAACTATAAGCGAAGGAACATGTTCTCAACACTGCTGTGTTTAATGTGTTGCTTGCTCTCAACCATTTCAATTTTATGAAAGATTTCTGTATGCTCTCTACACATTTATCGATAGTTGGTTTCAAGGACAGCTTACTTGTCCAAGTAAAACCCAAATATTTAAAGGATTTAACACTTTCGATCTTCTGTCCGTCCATCGTGATATTTATTTGTGGCATTGTAACTTGTGAGAAAAAGATTTGTGCTACTGTTTTACTAACATTTATCGGTTGCTTCCATTTCCGTGAGTACGCTGAGATCTGAATGCATACTTTAGTCCCTTCTTTCTCTAGATATCCTATCATAGGTGCAAAATTTTTCGATATTGGGGGTCGGATCAGTACGTTGAGGTCGTCTGCAAAAAGGTGAGCCGAATGTGCTCCAAGAACTGCAGTCAGATCACTATGAAAGACGATAAAGAGATACGGACTTAAACTACTGCCTTGTGGAAGACCCGAAAAAATTCTAAATCTATTCGAACTTTGCTCTCCGAAGACAACATATGCTTGTCTACCGTTCAACCATGATACACAAAATTTGAGCAAGCCATGAGGCATACCTAAGCGATTCAGTTTAACTATAAGTGCTGCATGCCAGACTTTGTCATAAGCTTTCTGATAGTCAACGTATATGGCTAGCGTTGGTATATTGGCTGCCATATTATTATCTACTTCTTGATATATAGAGAGTACTCTTGTGGGGAGAAGACATCCAGGACGAAACCCTGATTGTTCTGATGGAATTAATTGATCCGTTTCTGCCCAATATCGTACTTTTTCCAATATTATTTTTTCAAAAAGTTTCGAATGTGTTGCAAGGAGCGATATAGGTCTAGTTTGATCACAGCGCGGAACACCTGTTTTTAATTTATTTAATGTTACTATTTTAGCTAATTTCCACTGCTCTGAATATCTACCTTCTTTTATCCATACATTAAAACAGTTTGTCAAACATGTAATGTAGCTCGGTGGAAGCAATTTAATCATAAAGTTCGATATTTGATCAAAACCTGATGACTTTTTTGGTTTAAGCTTTTTTATAAATTTTGTTATTTCATAGGCGCTAGTGAGTTCTACTGTTTCCTCTGAGATACTTAATTCATTTAATAATATTCTATGCTCTTCTTCAATTTTCATATCATTTGGATCGTCTTTTTTGATTTCCGTTTTTTTGAACTGGTTTTCATAGTATGAAAAAAGTGTATCAACTATTTCCTTTTTGTCTGATATTACGGATTTTCCACTGTCTAGCTTTGAAAATGCCAAGCTTCTGGATTTGCATACACGGGACAATTGAGACCAGAAGGCTTTTTCTGGTCGATCAGATTTATCTCTGATTGTTGACAAGAAGGATTGCCAGCAAGACGATTTATGTATTGCAATTTCTCGCCTTACTTCACGATTCATCACTCTTAACAAAACACGTGTCTCTTCATTTTGACAGCCACTCTTTCTTTCTGTGTAATATTTATTTCTTATTCTTCTAAGCTTTTTTAGTTTATCTATTATGAGAGGTGGTAGTGATGGTCGGTATTTTTCTTTTTTCTTCCACACAATTACTCTGTTTCTTAATGCCGCTAGAAATCGAGTGTAGTTATTGTACCACTCATCCACTGATGTTATAATTTGCTCTTTGATCCAAAAATCTTGAAGAAGTGCCAGCATTCCTTCAAAAATATGCCACCTAACATGAGGGAAAAAATTTCTGATTTCATATCCTATGTTCTCACACGCCATGACAATAGGCCAATGATCACTGGTACCAAAAAACATCGTTTTAGCATTAATTCCATCAATGTTTGAGAAAGTGAGATCGATATTTCTCATGGAGCGTTTTGATGAGTGTGAAGAAGAAGGAATGTATGTAAGATTATTTTTTTCTATCCATTCTTTCAAAATNACAAATATTTTTGATGACTGATGGAGAAATCACAAATGTGAACGAAGTACTTGATCTATGTCGTTCAATGGCTATTTCGACACGCATCTTTTCATTTGGTTTGGGTCATTCGCCAAGTCGTTCACTTGTCAAAGGTCTTGCTCGAGCAACAAATGGACGTTTTGTTTTTATTCCATCTAATACAAGTGTTGATATTCACGTTGGTGAACAGTTACAAAGAGCTCTGCAATCCTGTATAACTGGCATAGAAGTGAAATGGAGTCTCGATACTACTGTTATAAGTGCACCAACAAAAATACCACCAGTCTATGCTAATGATCGTCTGATTGTCTATGCACTTGCCAATAATCCAATGTTTGTTGTCGATCACAATTCGAGTGTTGAATTATATAACGATAAAAGTCGATTAGGCGAGGCTAAAATTGATTGTATACCGAATGTGAGCATGAATGGAACCATTGCTCGACTAGCTGCCAAAGCACTCATTCTCGAATTGCAACATTCGAAATTGCCTTCATCCATCAAAAAGAACAATTCAGGCTCATTACAAAGTCAATTTCAAGAAGATAAGCCTTCGGCAACACCATCAGTGACAATTGACGAGAAAGAAGTGACAAAGAAATCTACTATTGAGCTTTCACTCAAATATCAGATTCTGAGTCCACATACCGCTTTCATTGGTGTTGAAAAACGAGTGAATGGCAGCAATGCAGAGAGGGTCTTGCGTGAAGTACCGATTCAAATATCAAAGGATGACCAACACTTACAGTCACCAATTTTCACGAGTTCCTCTTGGAATACAATTCTATGCAGTGCGTCGTTATTTCAGCCACGCAGAAGATTACACGCATGCTGTTTGACACCTCAAAGACGCGTACTAAAGTCGTGTTGTGTAAACCGTTCGGTATTGAATGATGAACAAAGTTCGTCAGTAGAAAATGCCTATGATGTTAATAATCTAGCGGTTAACGATTTTATGTCGTCCAATGATAGTGATATTTCTTTTTTGACCAATTCAAACCAGAAACCTTTGATTGATAAAGCAAAAGTTGAAACATGGCCTACAGACGATGAAAATATTGTTCGCTACTTGATCAACAAACAAAATTTTGATGGTTCATGGATTTTGATGTCACAGATATAGAACACTTGACTGAAAAACCATTGACCAGTTTTCCCCCACCGAACAATGAACAAATTCTCATTTCGGCTATTGTTGTTGTTGCACTTGAAACGCGTTTCGCTTCATTGTCGACAATGTGATATGGTGTAGTACAAAAAGCTCGTAAGCGTCTTCTTGATTTACTTGGCAAAGACACTAATCAACTTGAATTCATTACTAGAGAACATTCGTCAACAATTTTGAAAGTTGTTTAGTTTATCATCGATTAGCATGAACGTTTTATCTGTGATTATAATTTTTCTGTGGAGCCAAAAAGACAAATATTTTTTTTTTCTTCAGAAAAATAACAATAAACGAGATGACATTTAAATGAAACGGGAAGATGTTCCAGTTGACGCTTGACTACGGTGAACTTCATTTGAATAGCATTAACATCATCCCTGATGAAAATCTAGAGATTATTTCGAGAGTTTTAAACAATTATAAAAGTTAACATTGTCACATTCAACAACACCAAGATCTGTGAAAATTTTATAGATTATTGTGCATATTTAGTACAAATTTATTGTAAAGTTTGAAGTCTATACATTTTACTATGAATGAGAATCTTCAACAACACTATTATGTACTGTCTTTTCAATTTTCAGTATCATCTTGACAATAACTTTTAACAACACCTAATTTTCCCAAATAGAAAGATACACATGTCAAGTTTTAAGTGATCTTTAATTTGTTCATTATACTGACAAATTAATAATTTGAATTGTTCTTATATTTTATCCATCAGTCAGTGACATAAAGAAACATTAAATTTGTTTCCACTTATTTTTAATATCATTGAATCAAGTGTTCAATGTTATTGTGTTTTTACCTTCGGTATTTTTCTTTCAATGCACCTCTCAAATGTTTCCTATTTGTCAAAACTGAATTAGTTTTGCTATACAATTTGTTGGCTTAGTTCGATTGATGAAAATCTATTTCATTGGTGAAGTTGGCCTATGTTTTGATCGCTTTAATGAGATTACCTAGTCAAAATGATGATAATTAAATGTAAAAACCGAAAATATCTTCTCATTTTTTTCCTAGGCATCATCAATATGATCATTGTCAAACAATCGTATGATTCGATTGAGTACAGTTGTTTGTTTCTTCAGTTTAGCCCATTTAGGTATGATTGTTGACTTTGAGTTGAATAGTATGTGAAATGAATTCAATTTAATTTAGGCAAAAATCAATGATAATCCAAGTTTTGCATAGTAATCAATAATTATGAGAGAGACTACATTTCAAAGAAATGAAAAAAGATAGATAAAACATTGTTCATCAATGTGACCTACACTTGTATATCTGTTTCTAGTTAGTGAACTCATTGAATGAATCTGTGAAATAGATGATCGATTGAAGAAAACTTATTTTCGGTCATCTCAAAAGACGTGGACTCAACCTTTGCTGCCATTTTGCTCAATGTATGATCATAGGTATGAGACAGCAAACTGATCGCATCGAATATTTTCGTATTTGATTTTTGTATTAAATTTATTATTCAAGATTTGAATTTTCTAAAGTGAGACGAATTCGAATAAGAAAAATGAATCCATTGAACAAGGAGAATATTGTCGAACAATGAAAAATTGATGTATTTAATTACATGGATCCATGATTTGCTCGATATTGGTCGCTGGAGATTATCGTAAAACTTTTCAATACTACTGGAAATAATGCTTATCGATTGATTTTGTTTATCAGCTCGCTCGATTAATCAAAGTTACATCGACCGAAGATTCTAACTTAGTATTAAATAATGTAATTGTCATTTTCGATCAATGCCATTACTTGTCTCACCTGGTTGGCTCTTTGCCGTTCTTTACCGTGAAATCATTGTTGAGAAACTTTACGCATTCGAAATTGCTAATCTACCAGTAAGCATTGAAGTTTTCGACAATAATCATCAACCATTCTATATTGGTTGTAGCAATTGAAGCAGTGCAAATATTGCTCTGAAATGAAAATATCAATGTCAATATTGGATAGACTACTCATTTAGAACAAATACTATGATTGAAATGTAGATATTCGTATTTTTTTATTATTTATCGCCTAGATTCAAAAAATAAAATAAAACTTTCGTATATCCTTTAGATATACTTGTGGTTCATTTTATCTTGCCATATTGTTTATTTCAATATGACTTGTTGTTGGTCAATGAGTTAAACGAAGTACAGCATTGTATAGTTAAAGTTAAGTAAAGTTTTCGACACATCAGAGACACTCTGGATGTTCTATTATATGCTTAAAAAAAGCCATATTTTTTGTTAGTCTCGCCAACAATGCTTAGTTTCAATTCATTTTTGTCAACTACATCGTTACTAAACAAGTTTATTTTTCTTATCCAACACTCGTAGAATGAGAAAGAAAGATATTCAATTACTCGTAAGAAGAGTGCTCTTAGAACAATACAGTCAATATACACTAACTTCTTGGTAGAATGTTTAATAGCACTTTTCTATAAAGTTTAATATCTGTTGCTTGCGACATTTAGCTTCCTTAATAGCCAAATAAATTAAAAACAAGAAAATTATTTTTTTTTGTCAAACTTATATCAGTCACTTACTGATGTTGAGATTCGTGTACTACAGATAGACTTCGTTCATAATGAAATGTAATACTAGCATAGTTATCAGTTTCAACCTAACTATTAGAATGGATATGATTATCTGCAAAGAAACAGTTTATAAGAAAAACAGCAACTGAATACACTTTCAATGTTTTTATGCGTCTGTTTCGAGAAATGTCTTTAGATCTTTTTGCGAAGAGAAATGCACTCTCAGGCTCAGAAGAAGTAATTCATAAAACAAATCTCCATGTGTTTACCTTAAAGTATGTTTTCTTCAATTATGGATGCGCTGCTTTTTTCTTGAATAAAACCGTTTCTGAATGTTCAAAGGAAAATGAAAAGACGAAGAGATTTTTTAATTAATAAACAACGGTATTTCAAAGAATGTGTTCCTATTATTCGACAATATCTGTTTATGTGTGACTCGTGTGAATGTGTACTGGGTGAACTAAGTTCTTTGATCAAGGATTATTGTCTTTTCGTATAGAGAACCTAACGAATTTTTTTCAGAATACGCTGTAATAAATCACTCAACTGGCTTCATGATAAGTTTTCAAGAAAGAAATAAGTTTTTCAATAGGGTGTTCTCCTTATTAGTTGTTTCTCAAGAATTCTCTCATTCGAAATGGACGTATCACTATAAAGACAAAAGTAAAATATTGTACATATGAGCTTAAATATCATTCTAGACATGAATATTAAAAATATCAAAAAATTACAGAAATTCTATTAGGAAAATGAATTATCAGCGTAGACCTTTCAATGTGATGAAGAGTTAATTAGTATTAAACTACACTGTCTGAATCAATATATGATCCGTCACTCACTGCAAAAAGGAATAACTAGAATGAATTATTTTGTTAAAAAAATTAAGAACTTTATTGAGAAAACTAAAAGCACTGCTAAAACTGACATGAAAATAAAATACAATTCATTATAATTAAATGAAAACGATCTTTTGAAATCTTCATTTCAGATATCTATTTATAAAATGTTGCCACTTAAATTAATCTCTCATGCAATGGATTGGAAAAGTTATTTGTATTTATCTATATGACTTCGTCCACTAATGTTTCAGTTTGATATAAAAATATTCTTTTGTCATGCTTATGACATACATAATGAAAATTGTAAATCTTACAATAGAATATTGGGGATTTTTTTAGTCGTTAAAATAAAAATGGAATTATATGGGTGGGAATGAAGGTAAAGAAAAGAAGCACATCCACATCCTCAAGCGGAAATTACTGAGTTCCAATTTTATAACTACCGACACAGCTTGATCAGTGGTCTAAAAAAATTCCGTAATGGTTTGTCATGTTTCGTGAGTCGAACATACTAGCTATTCCAGATCAGTCCTACCCGTTGTTTATTAACATCATACAGAAATGAGATAATGAATTAAATTCGTGATTCGGTACATCTTCGAAACAGTCTAATGTGTCATTGCCGAAATCAAAATAAGACTATTATCGCGGCTACAAAAGGATTTTCGACACTTAGTTTGATGCTCTTTTCTTGCTTAACTTTTTTATGGCGAATGGGTCTTTTCTTTAGGAACGCTTCAGCGCGAACGTGTAACATTCAAATAAATCATTTATTATGCTATTATGATAGACAGAAAGATATTGAGGTGTAAAGTATAAAACGAAGTAATGGACCATCAACACTTTCGACTATGGAGAAAATGAAAGTAAAAACAAAGATAAACATCTGAATATTCATCAACAATTACTTATTAACAGAATTGTACTTGATGCAGCTATTGCTGATGCAATTGTTGATCGAGAAGTCATCTTAGATAACAATAATGAACAATATTCTTCCATTTCAAAAATTAAAATCTGCTAGTTCTTCTTTGTATAGCATGCATTTATTATGTGTAACACGGTTTGTTTCTAATTTTTATCTACATGGTATATAGTGTTGTTCGGTTATTTTGATTGAGTGATATATAAACAAAATTATTTAATATATTTGAAAAAAAGTATTCTAAAAGATATTTTATGAGCATTCAAACAGAAAATAATCTAATAAAGTAATGCTACTAAAGATTTGCAAAGTGGCATAACCGTGAAAAAAATTGAAGCGCACTTAAAAAACACTCGGCTATGCGTTCGTTATTTTCAAGATCGTGTCTAATTGACCAGACGTTGGCGTTTTTGACAATATCGGTTTTTAAGTTGGATCATTTTGGAACTATCAGTAGTCTCAGGAGAGATGAACAAAAAATGAGACATTGATAAGTTGAATTAATCAAAACACCAGTATTCAAGACATCTTTAAAATTTCATACAAATAGACCTTGTAATGCTTTTTTCTAAGCCTCGATTGAGGCCAAACTGAGATGAGGACTAAAAGAGTATTGGTTCAGTACATTTCTAATCAGTATTGATGGTAACGAAATTAAAAAGAGATTTTTGACCATGACCAAAGATTGTGATCACACAAATCACTAGATTCTTTATATTTTTGAAATCGGCAATTAGGAATATTAAAGATATTGACGAGAAAAGTATTGAAACTATTTCAGAGATCTTTTACCATATCTTTTAGACATACGTAAAATTCTGCAAGACGGAACAGTGTTAGAACGGTTATACCCATTTTATCCTGAAGTTCGAAATAGGTCTAAATTACAGACATGAGTTGAAATAGGGCTATCTTATGTCTAGTAGTAATGTATACCGATGTTATCAGAAGCTACGTACTGAGAAAAAGAATTGATTGTGAAATCATCTTCATCTGAAAGCAACGAATCAAGAATTGTTTTAATTTAGTGTTTAGTAGTCATTGAACTGTAAGTTATCAGGTACCTATATTCTATAGTTCTAAGAGAATTAAATGTTAGATATATTTAAGGAGCTCGATTACAAATCCTAATAAATTCGAACTTGAAATGTCAGTCAAATTAGATTTTGAAATATAGAAAATTCAAAAGTCAAGTACTTGCTATCGAATACTTTCTGTTACAAACTAGAAACAAAAAATGATGATGATGAAATGCTTATTTTTTTGTGACACAGAGTTAATGCTTTTTGGGGAGCGAAAAACATAGACATTAGTAGTCTCACAGTTTTTTTTAATTAACAAATATTCATATTCTGTAAAGATGCTATATCTTCAAACTGATTTCTCAAAGACATAAGATTATCAGCTTTATTCTTTTCTTCTGTATTTTCGATTTTCTACATATGGAACAGAATTAATGACATGAATTTTTGCCATTAAAAATCTCGAGAGGAATTCTAATTTGAGGGTGCGTGTTTGAATCTTCATATCATTCATGCCTAACCTCCATCCTCTAACTTCTCTAATAAACGTAGCCATGTGTTCTTAAGACATGACATGCCATTAACTATACATTACTAGGTGATAAGACACTTCCAATATCATGAAAGAATAGCTCAGAGTAGATAGTATTTAGGATAAAAAAAAGTCACTTTTCTAACTCTGATCATTCTTAAGAAAATGGAAATTTACACAAAAGTACTCTACTAGTGCGGTGTTTAAGTGTAAAACTCTGGTGGAGGAATAGCTTGCTTAATCACTTCTCCTAAAACAAATCCTTATAATTTTACCATCATATTTGACTATATGCTAGAGGACACTATGCATTACGTAATAGTAGAATATTTCTAACAAAGCATGGAAGTGGATTATGAAAAGGTTGAAAGGAAATATGTGTGCAAAAACAGTGAGACATGACCTTTTCAAGTCTATATATTTGAAATATAGACGACAGCAGATCTATACAGAAGCGCATCATTTGTAAAGTTTATCAAACACTCTAGTCACTAAGTCAAGAAATGCTATTCTCGATATTTATGTTAGATGAAAGCTATTTAATCTTATCGACTTCCTCTTTATTTTTATCAACATCTTCTTGTTTTTTTGCCGTCTTCTCCGTAATGTTTGTATACTTAATACGATGTATAGGTCCCTTTGACAGAGAATAATCATTAATAAGCTGTATCAGCATTTATCAGTAAGTATACTTCTTCATCTGGCCATCATCTCATTTGCTGATCGTCATGCTTAACATCATCGCTAGTGAACATTCAGTTTGTAAATTGATCTCGGTTTCTTTTTTAACTACACAAATAAGAACAATTACTCAAAGTGCTATTGGCAAATGATAGCTACTATTTATAAGTAAATATTCTAACAAGATAAATATAACGCATACATCACAGTGATATACAAAGCATCAAGAGTGCATGAAACGACTCATCATCTCTACTTCTTGATATCTACCGTGTTGTGAAATAGGATTAATTGTAGCAGATCATGATCTCTGTATTATCATAGCCTTAACACATAATAAAAATCTTTTATTGTACACAAGAAAATGAAAAGAGCAGGGTACATGAAAACTGCAAGAAATCCAAGTTTTAACCAGAACTTGAGACGAAATGACTATGGGTGTTTAAAATTTACGAGAGTACGTATTCTTCCAACGCCTATAAAGGGTGTAAAATAAATTTTGATTTTCTCTTGCGGCAGTCTTTTCTCGCTTATTTTTCAGTCGTTCGAGACTTATATTTATTCTGCAGGTGCTAAACGCTTAGATCTACTCTATGCTTGAAATTCAGTTTTCTCCTTATTATTGTTACAGAGATACAAGCGTTGCCAAAATAATAATAAATTTTGAATTGCATTGAAATGATTAATGAATGAGAAAATTTATAAAAATTCGATCACGCATTTGCGACAAGTAACTTTTGCTTTCATGTCAATAACTCTTCCGTTCTATCATTTGTCAACGTCATTATGAATCAAAGAAACATATATAATCTCTTTTTCTCTGGTAAGAGAAATCTGGAGAAACGATGAATCTAATATTGACTGAGTGAGTTGATAGATAATTACTCTCTCTCAATCACGTTATAGTTGTTTTGTTTAGATCTTTTAATTATTTATTAAAAGAAATTCCTAAATATATTGACTTCTTTTTGTAAATAAAAGGAGGAAAAAATTTACAAACTATATTTTCTTCCATAATTTTGTGAGCTATGTCAAATGACAGATAAAGGAAAGAAAAAAAATGCTCAATTTTTTAATCCGTGCAGCTTACGTCCAATTTTATTTCGCTGTTCAATTACTTTCACGATACTATGGAATAGTATCAGTTATGATCAGCCACGTACGCAAACAAAACCCTTCTCATTTGCTCTTCCAACAATAGGCTTATTGTCGCACTATCGCTACACTGCCGCTTGTCATGCTTTGCAACACGCCATCAATTATGCTTTCTTCTCTGTGAATCATACAGTTGCATTCTTCGTTCTTTACTCAATATTGACTCGTGACTTTCAGTAGGCAGCGGATGGGTATTTAAGTGAGTAATTTCAGCACTAACAGCATTTTTCACAATGCTTCGAATCAAACCAAATTCTTCCTTTTCTTCACAGCAGTCAGCACGACAATATGTGCCATTGAAACAAGTGAGCATCGAAGCATACATTAAATCGTTTGCTGCCGATGTGACTATCAAACAAATTTTTTGCAACGATGACACGATACCAATTGAAGCAGTGTACTGTTTTCCGATAGAAGAACAAGCAGCAATCTATTCATTTATTGCTCGGATTGATGATCGAGAAATTGTTGCACAATTGAAAGAAAAAAAGGAAGCACAAAAAGAATATAGTGATGCACTTCAACAAGAACATGGTGCATATTTACTTGAACAAGATGAAAAATCTCAAGATAATTTTATTATCAATGTCGGTGCACTACCACCCGGTAAAGAATGTCACATCTCTATATCGTATGTCTCCGAACTAGATCTTATTCAAAATGGAAGTCGAATTCGATTTGTTGTTCCAACAACTATCGCACCTCGATACAATCCAACCAAAGATGGCATCAGTTCACCAACTGGTATCACGTCCCAATACGTCCAAACAGTACCATACACAATTGAATTTCATTGTCGGGTCGATAAAGTCAACGTCTCTCAAGTTAGTTCGACATCTCATCCCATACAGGTGGAAGTCAGTCAAGATCATGTCTATGTTATCAAATTTGTCCAACAAAACATACATTTGGGTCGAGATATCTTACTAGATATCGAATTAGCTAGCAATCATTCAAATACTATCGTTGCGGTGGAACCAGGTGCTGTTATGGCTTCATTTATACCAACCGAAGGAGATTGTAAACGTGCAATGAATAATGTAGAGACGACAAATGAATTTATTTTTCTTATCGATTGCAGTGGATCAATGGGAAATGGGAACAAGATTGGATTGGCACGTGAAGCCATGTTACTGTCTCAAAAGTCTTCCAATGGATTGCCATTTTAACATCATTCGATTCGGATCCAATCATGAGGCATTATACGACGAGGTCGTTGCTATTTACAACGAAAAAAATGCTCAAAAAGCCGAACGACTCATCAATCAGTTGCGAGCAGATTTTGGTGGCACTGAATTAGTCTGTTTCAATAGCTTTATCTTAAAAGAAAATTATGTTTGTCTCTATTTTAGTTAGAACCGCTGAAATGGTTAGAAAAGCATCTTCCACGAAAAGGTCACGCACGGCAAATATTTTTGATGACCGATGGAGAAATCACAAATGTGAACGAAGTACTCGATCTATGTCGTTCAATGATTAGTTCGACACGCATCTTTTCATTTGGTTTGGGTCATTCGCCAAGTCGTTCACTTGTCAAAGGTCTTGCTCGAGCAACAAATGGACGTTTTGTTTTTATTCCACCTAATACAAGTGTTGATATTCATGTTGGTGAACAGTTACAAAGAGCTCTGCAACCCTGTATAGCTGGCATAGAAGTGAAATGGAGTCTCGATACTACTGTTATAAGTGCACCAACAAAAATACCACCAGTCTATGCTAATGATCGTCTGATTGTCTATGCACTTGCTAATAATCCAAAGTTTGTCTTCCATCATCATTCCAGCGTTCAATTACACACTGATAATAGTCGATTGGGCACGGCGAATATTGATGGCATGGTGAATATGAGCATGAATGGAACCATTGCTCGACTAGCTGCCAAAGCACTGATTCGCGAATTGCAACATTCGAAATTGACTTCTTTGGTAAAAGAGAGGAAATCAGTCTCGCTACTAAGTTGTTTTCGGAAAAAGCATCCATTGCCAAAAGCTGCAACAGCAATCAGCGACAAAGAATTGACAAAGAGATGCATTATTGAACTTTCACTCAAATATCAGATTTTGAGTCCACATACCGCTTTCATTGGTGTTGAAAAACAAGTGGATAGCAGCAACGCTGATATAATCTTGCGCGAAGTACCAATTCAAATATCAACCGATGACCAACACTTACGCATATCCCATTCCATGAATCAGTGTACCAATACGATGCCACCTAATCCGATACCATTACGTAGGATGCAAGCACCAATGGCCATAGCTACGGTGAATCGATCGATGTCAACGGAGTACAAACGACATAAAGCTCTCAGGCCGATGCCTCAATCAGATTCGTTTTCAGAAGATCACATCGATGAAATTGACGAAGAGTATCTTTCCCTACGAATTTTTTCTTCAATGCCATCGAAATCCAATTATGTTTGTTCTACGCCCAGTTCACGTGAACAGCCTCTGATTGACCAAGAAAAATATGAAACATGGCCTATCGACGATCAAAATATTGTTCGCTATTTGATAGGCAAACAAAAATTTGATGGTTTATGGGATTTAGATGTCACAGATATAGAACATTTGACTGGGCAATCGTTGACAAGCTTTCCATCATCCAACAATAAACAAATTCTCATATCGGCTATTGTTATTGTCGCACTTGAAACGCGTTTCGCTTCATTGTTGATAATGTGGTATGGTGTAGTACAAAAAGGTCGTAAGCGTCTTCTTGATTTACTTGACAAAGACGTCAAACAACTTGAATCATTACTGAAGGATATTCGTCAACAATTTTGAAATTTGTATTCTATCGATTGAAGATGAATGTTTCGCCTGTTAATATTATTTATTTGTAAAGTCTGAAAACGAATAAAGGCGTTTGTCTGCAGAAAAACGACAGTAGAGAGGATGACATCTAACCGAAATGAGAAAATATTCGAGTTGACTCTCGATTACAGTGAACCTCATTTGAACAGCATTAGGATCATCATGAATCAAAATCTGAAAATTGTCCCAGAAGTTCTGAAACGATTTTAAAATTCATCTTTCTCACAATCAGGCAAAAGCAAGATCTTTGAAAGTTTCATGAACTACTTCACCTATTTAGTGTTAAATAATTACAATGTTTGAAATCTACAAATGTGACTATGAATGAGAATCTCATAATAAAACTATTGTGTGTTATCTTTTTCAATTTTTTCTCTCATTTTGGCATATTATTTTTATGCAGAATCTAATTTTTCCAAATAAAAAGATGCACATGTCAAGTTTTTAGTGCTCTTTAATTTGTTCATCTTATTGATGGATTAGTAATTTGATTGTTCTTGTATTTTATCTATCAGCCGTTAACATAAAGAAAAATTAAATTTGTTCTCATTCATTTTTGATGTCATTTCATCAAATGTTCAATATTAACTATTATTTATTTATTCGTTATTATTTTTTATTAAATATATTTAAAATTTGTTTTTAACGGACAAATGCATTTGAAAATATTTATTTTGTTGTGTCTTCTTCCCATTCATCATAATTTCCGATTATGTTGAAATCACTTATTTGTTCTTATGTAGAAGCCACTTGTTCGTTTTCGTGGACACAATCGATCATGTGACGAATTGCAGAGCTATATGCGACGGAACATTGAAGATTAGGTGTTAATAATAAAAACTCAATATATAATAAATTAGATGTTGTATCATTATAATGGAATGTTTTTGATAATTTTTAATTCAATTTAGTTTTTTTTCTTGGATAACTTCATTATCTATGGTACACGTATGCCATGATATAATCATATTGTTTCGAATTCACCATTGCATCTTGAGCAAACTTCAAAAATTCTAATGTTCTTGTTGTTAAAGCGAGAAAAGTTTATGTAAAATTCTTCATTTGTAATGGCATCATTGTATTTGTACGATGATTAATATTTCATTTGTTATTCAATTACATTTTTTCAATATCGATGATAAAGAAAGAATAATCAAACAAGAATAACATTGTTCATGATAGCATATGACTGGATGAGTTAACCAATATGATGTTAAAAGAAATGTTGACATCGATTTGTCTAAGTCTAGAATGAAAAGAAAGAAGTCTTTCCGGTGTGTGACTGCTTTATAATGTTTGGATGTGACAAAGTGTTTACCCAATTTCACTTGTTCAAGAACCAGCATACAATTTAGAACATTTTCTTTGCCTCAGTTTTGTACTACATGATAAGTCAAATTCTCGTGCAAGAGTCCGTTTAATTCTCATATTCACTCGACCGATAAACAGCGACTACCATCCCATTTGAAATGCATCGTTCTTTCGACCCCTTGCTATTAGGTCTAAGAGGCACAGATGATCTTTGTCTACGAGAGAGTTACATAACTCGATGTGCGGTTTTCAATGAAACTATTTTCAACTTCAAATACAATATCCAAAGATCGATTTCTCTGCTGCACAAAGATCATCTGTGTCTTCATAGGCTGGGTAAGAAAGGGTCGAAGGTGGTGGCAGTTGGCGCCTATCGATCGAACAAAGGGAAGAATCAAATAGATTCATACCGTTTTGAATAGAGAAAATATTTCTGTGTCGAATAAGACCATTTTCAAGGCTCTCTATGGAATTTTGGGTAGAGTTTAATATTAAAAACCAGTTTTCACGGCTACCAGAAGGTCTCTCGAATTTTTTAAGGATTAATCAAGTCTCACAACAAAAGTGATACAGATTATTAGCACAGAAAATTCTATCCAGTGATATACATTTTGCATGGAATGAAGACGAAAACTTTTGGAAGATGTTTGAAGAGAGGGACCTTCTAACAGACAAAAATATGATTTGTCGTATAGTACAAAATTGAAGTATAGAAAATGTTCAGATTCTGTAATATCCAAACATCATAAACCGTCACACCTCTTTTTGTTTCTTACCAGTATTAGTGTTAACACTTTCATCAACAGTTAATCGAAAAAGAAACTGAAATTGTTTTCATTTCGGTACTATCGATGCAGTTGCCGATTCAATAATTTCATCTTCGATACGATCATAAATCAACAAAATTACTGTTAATAGTTCAATTGATTGTTGAAATCGTTCTAAAAGTAATAGTAAACAGGAATAGTTTAATCATGGTGATCATGTTGTGGTTTGATTTTGAATACTACTATAACCATATGTATCGTTTTTTCTAATTCTGCAAACTGTAAGGTTTAAATATATTTATTTTGATAATTTTTCAATTAATTTAAATAAATCATGAACATAACGTAATATGATAGTTAGTCTCTTTAAATGTTGATTTAATTTTCATGTATGTAGTTTAAATGAAAACCTGTTGCGAATGATCAAATTTTATTTTTGTTGGCCCACGTTAAATTGATAATAAATATTTACTTAACCCTTGGTTTTTCTTTGTTAATACACCAATTCGATATATCAATCGATAGATAAGTAAATTTAATCGTTCATTAATATCATTTAATGATTGTACAATATCACATGATGATAAATAAATGAGAAAAAAAAACAAATAGTTCATTAGGTTATGACATTAAAGTTGAATCTATAAAGTAGAGACAAGTTTATATGTGAGTGTTCTTTATTTAGAATGAAGTTAATATCCTTAACAATGAGATATCGTTACGATTTCTCAATAGCCGATGCAAAACCATGAGATCTTCAGAGAGTTTTCTGAAGAGAGACAAGAATCAAGCGGAAATTGTCAGAACATCGTGGACAATCTTCGGGTACATGATTCTATCAGGATTTAGTCATTTTCTAAAACAAAAACAGCGATTTCGGACTGAATTCAATGCAAAAACAATTCGGATTCTCACTAGGGTAGCATACTAAGCCGAAAAGCTTAGTTTTCGTACATATCGACATATTGAATCAATGGTGTTTAGTGTACTACAATGAAGATATCAAACTATTTATATTTTTTATCCTCTCTCTTTCTTAAATAAATAATACACTTACCTTTTTCTCTTTCCGCTGACTTTTATCATCATCTTTCATGAAGCATTGTTCCGTACATATTACGCCATCATCTTCCTTTTTTGGAATACATACGTATAGTAGATTGATTGATGATTGGTGGAACAAAATAAATCCTAGTAAATACAAAGAACGAATCTCGATCATGAAAGAATTCACTACATTTTCTACAGGAGAAAAGGTGGAGAAATTGTCTCGAATTTAGAACCAAGAAAACACCTCTTGTCGGAACCGGAATCGATCGTCGCCCTGTAACAGTAACGAACAACTTCTGGAGAAACAACACATTAACGCGATCACATAAAATGATGAACACAATGATTATCATGATTTACTGACTGATGAAATGAATGCGCCTATTTTTTAGTGGTTATTTCTAAATGCCCTGTGTGAATATTTTTTTTAAACTGGGTCAAATATTAAGATTTATATATATTTAGAATCCGCGTAATATGAGTAATAATGTCTGATAAATGTTATGCTGGCCATTGTCAGAAAACGAATAGATGACACTAAGTAATATTTTGTCATGGCGGAGGGTTGCCACAGTAACAACGTGGAATAGCTGAAACATGTACAGATATTCATTCACACATGATCAACAGAACCAATGAAACTAAGAATACTCATGATGTCGTTAGTGAACATTATGAAAAGAAATAAAAAACGAAAAATGGCCACGGTGAAAATATTGTATAAAAATATTGTAAAGTATGCCTGATTTTTCTATGCAATTAGTTTTTTATTTGGCCCGGATTAAAAAACGAACTGTATCAGTGCATTAGTGGATTCATTTTAGAAATGATGAAATGAGCCATTCACATCAGTCAGTAGATCATCAGTTCAGCATATTACCAACCGATTGAACCAATTATGTCATCTGATAAAGTACCACTTACTCCAGTAATGGTGGAGGCAGCAAAACTTTGCAAGGGGGCTTAGCTTAGCTTCGTTTCAAGCTGAAAAGAGATATTTTTTTATGTATAATATATGATTATTTCATTTCTAGAGAAAGCTCGAACTTTTCTAAAGGAGACTGAACCACCACGTAACTCCACCGTTATGTGTAATGATAAAATCTTTGAATATTCGATAATAATGCGGAAGAAGATGAACGTGTATGACCATTTGTCATCATATCTGAAATGCAAGATGCGTATATAAATATCGAAATTCATCAGTGAAAAAAAATCAACGATATTATCACAAAATTTGTGGAAAAGGCCCAATAATTGTGACGCCCAAAAATTTGCTTCATTATACAATGAGATATATCTAAATGGTTCAAAATTGTTTGTTAGCAGATTTTTTAAGTTTTGCTTTAAAAGTGTTATTTCTTTCTTTCATGAGAAAACATACTACCAATGAACTATACGCAAGCACACCCAAGAATAAACACAAAACAAGACACGGATCATTATATATGTGTGAAGATGATGGCTACATGTGAAAGAAGTCGAGAGAAAGAGGAAACGAATATGAGAGAGAAGAACGACAAAAAGAAGAATAAAATGCACGTTCAAGCAATATTATCTAGTGTTTTCAACGTACATTATAACATATATTTATATCAATTGAATTACTATTTAAATGATCACTAAATAATTCGATATCATAATGATTAGTACTATTTAATGATGAATTCACAGGTGACAAAGATAATGAATCATAATTACTATTTAATATTGATGTCATATTTGTTCTACTTGGCAGAAAAATTCGATAAAAAAATGAAGGTAAATTTCCTACATATACCCATGGAAGATTCATAAAACATTGTGTTACATGGTGATTTAATGAACGAAGCTGAGATACCAAAAACATAACATCATAAACTTCAATAGAAAATTCTCGATTGATATTCGATCGACGAGCTAAAATGTGAATGATTTTCGAATAAATAATAAAGAAGATGATTATGTTTACCTTGAGTATATTCACAAAATGCTTGAAGACATTCATATTGATATTTTGGCCATGATTTATTAGTTTCATTGATTACATTCAAGTCTTATAAAATAAGAAAGGAACTATTTTTCTTTGTTTAATGAAAATTTTTTTCTTACTGTTTCGAGTAATAATCATTAATAGAAGAAGAGAAAGTTCTTTTTCATCGAAATGAAGATCCCGTAATTTTGATTCAAATGATCGAAATAAATCTTCCGTTTGTATGAATTGTGGAACATGTGTATTTAATTCCATTGATAATGTTGATTCAGCTTGCCAATAATTCCATGTTGATTGTATAATTTCATATGAAGATTTCATCAATGTTTTACCAAGTAATAATGTTACCATAATAACAGAATTGATAGATGATGAAATGATTTCATATTTGTCAGGCATATTTGTAAAATCTATTGAAATAATTTTAAATTAAAGATAAATCAAAAGACAAAAATTTTGAAAGATTGATCTTTTCACTTTCACCGTATAGGTCGTGAAAGGGAATAGATAATTTTAAATGATTTCAGAAAATACATAAAGAGAATAGCATCATCAACAAGACAAGAGCAAAGCAACAAAATAAAGTATTAGATGATAATGATGATGATGATGATGTATGTTACCCGGTATTGTGCTTTGACAGAAATTCATAACTGCTCGAGCATAAATAATCATTTGTGATGCCATTGTCGACCAAACTGTTTCATATGGAATACACTGTGGTAGATCCTGCAGATAAATAAAGCAAAAATAAAACGATTCTATCGATAGACAATCGAATTATCTCTGCTTTTCAATAATAAAGAAAAATGATTGTGAAAAAAAGAAATCACCTTTAAATATACAAGATAAGCATTATAAATATTTTCAATAAATGCTTTTATTGTTGGTGAAAGTTCAATATCAATTTCATCGTTTGATGCAAATACTAAAGAACAATATTTTAAAATATTTCTTCTTTGAAATTGTTTTTCCTACTTTTTCCATTTTTATTTTTACTTTTTCGTCTTTTAGCCATTGATGCAATACGAGCTGAATCTATTACAGTGGCCAATGATGTTGATTTATGTTGTAATTGTCGAATACTACTTAATCAATCTTCATAATTTATTCGTAATGATTGAAATTTACCTTTCTTTAAAAAGATTTGATTGTCGACCTATACGAGACGCTAAAATAAAATTTACAAACCTTGAAATATGCATAAAAAAAATTAATAAATGACTGACCATTCATAGACATTCCAGCTTCAATACATTTTCGAAATCTACATGCTCTACAAGTTATTTTTGATGCTGTACTGATTTCACAATTATTATTTTCAGTACAATGATACCGTTCAGGAGCATTTTCTTTTATTGATCGACGAAAAAAACCCTTTAGAATTAATTTTATAAAAAAGACACTTTTGTTCTTCAAGTATTTTCTTTTTCTTACTTTACAGGCTTCACATGTAACAGCACCAAAATGAATACCTGATGCTGATGCATTACAAATAAGACATGGTAATCTTCTATATAAATCTTCTGTCTTTGATGCAATTGTTTCTTGAATTATTTTTATAAATAAAACAAAAAAAGAATAAACTAAAATAAACATGGAAAAAGAAAATTTACCATGAGCTTTCATTCCAACAGAAATACATTTTTGTAATCTACAATATTGACATTGTGTTCGAGAACGTTTTGTTATTGAACAGTTTAAATTTCTTTGACATTTGTATTTTTTCTTTTCATCACTTGTTGAAATTGAACGTAAAAAGAATTTCTAAATTATTATTTTTATTTATTTTTTTCGAAATAAAAAACATGTTATTCAAATTTAGTTTTACTTTGCATGCTTCACATGTTATTGCTCTAAAAAATAATAAACAATCCGAAATAAATCTTAAATAAATCAATGTAATTAACTTACCCGCAATGCCATCCTGACGCCAAATCTCCACAAATTTGACAATATTCATCATCATTCAAATTATCTGCCAACATATCGTCTTTTTTTGATATTATTTCTAATTATTTGTTGATAATGATAGAAAGCATAAAGACACTGAGAATAGTAATCATTCAAATGGGTTGACGATGGATGTACAAACACAATGACTGATATTGTTGTTTGAGAAAATTCTGAAAAATAAAAAAAAAAGATTCAAATTAATTTTAAAGGAGATAAGCGTTCTACTACAATATTATTATTGGAGCTTTTTTTTTAAAGATTCTAAATTTGTGTACAAATCTCAATTATTTTTATGTATAATATCTAGATATTAGCATGTAACTCATGTTAGGACGACTAATTATAAAAATGAACGTAGGAGAAGCTCGAAATAATTGAACTTTATATAGTTTAGAGAGCGATGGAAATAAATGCTGCTACAGTTCAGCCACTAGATAGTCAAAGTCACATGATGTCATTTAAATGAAAGAAAAAGGACGAAAAACAAATGTTCTAATCTGTTCATAGCAATCTGTGTATTGTCACAAAAATACAAAATGATATTAAGATCATTAAAATAACATTTATCTCTCTCACTTGCTGCTTTTCAAAAGAGTTCAATAATGAAGATGTGCTCTTCTTTCCCTCTGGGTAGCTGTTTTAGATTGACTAAGAGAGACGAAACAGTTATATATCTTTATATACATGCTTGCATTTTTATGACCTTTTAATGTTATGTTTTAGCAAATAACACGCACGCTCAGTATTGGCGTAAGAGAAAAAAAATGCAGATCTAATCGTGCTTATGTGATAATATCATCTGTCATACATTGAAAGACAACAAGATTTATTTTTCTTTTCAAAATACACTTTTCTCATGATCTACAATAAATGAGTTGCAATCTTATGTCTTTTCAAGGATTATTCAGTATATAACTGAAAACGTGTAAAACAAAAAACAATGCTGCAATTGAATTAAGAAACAATTCTTTCTAATGAATAGCTCAAGATTAAATCTTGATGTTGATTTTGTTGATGATCAAAATTGTCGTGTTTATTGCGTCTTTTTTACAAAATCATAGAATGAATAATTTAGTATAGTTTTAAATATTTTCAACGGTTATTGGAAGAAATAACAAAAGAAAATGAAGTTTGATGTTTGCTCTTTTAATACATACATGTGGTTCAAATTAGCAATTGTGAAAAAAAGTCAACAAACAAACAAAAACAAAAGAAAAGTAAATAGAACCAACCAACTGAAAACAGTGTTCAAACCAATAGAAAGGATAGAAAAAGGTTAACATTTTATTCACTTTGTATAAATTGAAATAGATTGTAGAGATAAATGAGACAATATATGAACTGTTCTTCTGCAATAAAAGAACATAAAATAGGCGTGAGAATATGAAGGATATGATACATCAGTGATAAGAAAGCAAGTTATGAATGATTCATGTGAACAAGAACTATGCCAAACATTGATGTGGGATCATACTTTAATCTCTTTACTTCAATTTTTATCACACGTTTACGAAGAAATTGTTGAAAATTTATAATATGGCCTTTCAACTTGAGAGTTCAGATCGAATGATTCCAGTAGGTTCCCGCCAGAAAGCTCGAGAAAATGGTAGGGAACTAGGAAACAGAAACCCAGTGATCAGATCCGATGGTCAGATTTTTCTCCTTCCGATCATAACTAAAAACTTGTATCTCTTTCTGAACGGTCGGTCTATCTATTTCATTCGTTGGTCTTTTTCTACTACTTCACATGCATATGTTTAAATAGCCTTGTCTATGTATTATGTGTATAGCTGATTGAAATAAAGAACTTGGAAAAAATTCGTTTGAATCAGAGCGATAGTCTCATACGATAACATTGAATTGTCATCATATAAGACATGTTTTTTCCAAGCGAATATTTGAAGTCTTAAGTCAAGTGTTGCAAAATATATCGTTTGAGTGTATTGTTAAGTCGATGTTTTTTTATGAATTCAAGAACTTTTATTTCTTTTTTCTTTCGTTTGAGTTAACGTTAATGAAACTTGTTTTACAAGCACTATAAAGTGTCATTGTTTCTCTTCCACTTGTTGATCATCTCTAACGTTGTTAATTAAGCGACCATACAGAATAAAACAGCGCATGTCTTCGTCCGATCCACATGCATTTATACATCGATGGCGGCCTTGTTCAAAAAAAAAAACATCATGGTCATCTTCTATGATAATTCTTTTTTTTTTCAAAAGCCATTTTGATTTCTAAGAACTCTTAATTATTGAATAACTGTTATGAAATTGATATTAATAGTTATTTTGATGTCAGTGACGTCTTCTATTTGTTAGTTTCAAGATGTTCATGTGGTCGTACAGGTGAATTTTTATTTTCTAGGTTGGTACTATTGTCTACCAAGCTCAAGAGACACGGGTCTGCTCAGGTCAGAACCGGCACGTATTTTTTGATTTGAGCTATTATCTATTATCTCTTTGCCAGTAAATGTTTCTTTTAGTACCGGCAACAAAAAAATTATTCATTCAAGGACAGACAGCAAAAATATTCAATAGAAAGAGATGAAGAAAAAAGTTAGTTTTTACGAGTACTTATTAATGTAGTTATATTCTCATTTTGAACTATGAACATGAACGTGATTCCAAGAGAACCAATCAATGCTGAAACTATAACGATTAATTTTAAATAAAAATTGGTAAAATTTTTTCTTTTTGTTCTGTAATTAATATAATTTTCCAAATAAATCCTTTTCATTTGTTTGAAATCATTTCCAGTTATAGCTGTCAATGACTATATTAAATATATACATCAATAAGTTGTCTATGATATAAATATTGATTTTCAGTAAATTCTATTTCGTTTTTTTAATCAACTGACAACAAAGATTTTGAACAGGTAATTGCAAAAAAGTAAATTTTCATTTTAGTGAATATGTCTCTTACTTCAGAAGAACATTGGTTAGTGTTAAAAGTTTCTCAATGAATTGATAGAATGTTTTTTTTTAAAGGTTTTATCATATGAAATCATTGTAATATTTCTCTATTGTCTCAGAAACAGATTGAAATCTCTTGACACAATAATATTTCGTTCAATTAAGAGCTTTCAATGGAAAATTCGAAGTATTCAACTGTAGTAAAAATAAAGGGTAGATGTGGATGTGTTAGTGTGGATCTTTTTGAACTAATCGCACATTTCACCCATACTACACCCTCAAAATGCTTTTTTTCTTAGTTCCAATTTTGTGTAAGAATTAATTGCGATATAACTTCATGAAAATCTGTGATTCTACAATTGTTATTTTTGAATAAACATTACAATTCATATGCTTCTTTGGAGTGATTTGTGACTTACTAATAGCGTCTTTCGACTTTTTTTCTGATGGATTAGCTTATTCGTTCGAGTTGAAGCTTCTATTAAAAATCGCTTTTGTTTTTTTTTTATTGTAAATTTCTCAACTATTTCTTGCTTTCCTGCACCTATTGATTTAACTATACACACAATTGATAGTGAATGGATTGAATTAAATTAACAATCACCAATTAAAGATGACTGTTCATAAATAACAGATTATGTAATTGAACAGCGACCTGCTGCAAACTATAAATGTCATATGAACTAAAGTAATTTTGTTCTAATTCTAATATCTTCTCTTTGTTCGTTTTATATGTTCTCATAAGATTCCAACAGAACTAATTTGAATACATAGCAACAAAAATATCTTTATGAAATACAGAACACAAAGATGAAATTTTTATTTGAGCTAAAAAATTAGTTGGGCGTGGGTCATCTGTAGATCCACACACAAGCGCACTTTTTTTGTAAAAGTTTGATCTTGCGAAAACGTTCCGTTGTGGAGATATGGTCGCATTATTGGAATTCAGTATTTGTGAAAAATTCAAAGTTTTGGTAAAAAAAGATATAGGTCTTCACTTTGCTTGCATTCTTAAAATATTTCAACAAGTACCAGAAAACATTCAAATACGAATAAAAATGTAAACCATTCGACGCTCTATCCAACTGGACATGACACATTTTTTTTCATACTAGGAAATCTAAAAAAAAAAACGGTGACTCTTGAAAATCATACTAAACAATAGTTTTCCTGTTTTTGCATCAGTTTCATACAGACGTTTTTTCATTATAGCATTTCTTGCATGAAGTGTATCAAGCGAAAAATTTTATGGTGAATATATGTCACTAACTTCTACTATAGCCCAAAATTTCATTAAATTTGGAGAATTTTTCCTTAAACAACGGTGTTCTTTACGTATTAAATATTATACTATTTATATTTCTTAATTCAGGTTTAATTAATCTAGTCTTTCTGGAATTAGTTTCTTATAATTTCCTGTTTATAGATTGTTACTTAGCGGATAAATAACATGAAGTCAATGAAACTATAGTGACATGTGTGCAATAAAATATTAAAAATGATCACAGTTTTGTGTGTTTTATAATGTGTGAATTGTTTTAAAGTTCATTACTGTTTGTTTTTTTTATCAATGTTACTTCAGGATTTAGAATATTTCTTACTAATTTGAGTATTAAGAAGACTAAATTCGATTCATGATGAAATGCAACAGTTTTAAATGGCCAAAGTACACAATCTATCGATGAAAAGTATTTTGAGAACAATGTATGCCTCATTAATATAAAGAAAAAGTTCGTTAAGAGAAAAAAATATTGTCGATCTTTACTTGAAACGATTGAAATTCTAGAAATATTCCTGTTTTTTTTTACTTTGTCAAACGTCAGTATTCTCGGATGTTTATACTGAATAGTACCCACGAATTACGTTGTTTATCTACGCATAGAAATGCAATTAGCTGATTAGTACGAGCTATTTATTTTTCGATGTTCTATGTACTACATAGCCAAGTGGAATGAAGAAAAACTATTATTTAGCCTAATTTTTCTATCGTAGAGACTTAATTACACATCATCGCAATGCAATATGAAGAAGGAAACGAAAAGATGGATATCATGAGCGGTCCTAAAATACCTGTTTTCATAAAATCATCATTAGCCAGATATTCTCAAGTACAACAAG